GATTTCTGTCACTGGCTACCTACAAGTTTCTATCAAATTCTAAAGGGCAGTGTGAAAAATCTGATGTAAATATTTGTGTACATGTGATCTTCCGTCTTCCTCCAACTTATGGCCTTATTTAATGGTCCCTTTTTAACTAACGCAAAATTTGCAAATGTGTTAGTAAGATAAATGAGAATGTGTTAGTTTCAATCACACAATTCTTGTAGGGATGTAAACATTTCAAGCAATACTGGATATATTAGGAAACTGGTTATCAACCAGGTTTGCTTGTCATGGAACTTAATTTATTATTATTATTATTTTTTACCTTTTAAGCTGCAGTGAAGCACGCCAGGTATTTGTTAGTAGATATAGAATTGTAGAAATCGGTTAACGTGGTTCAAAGTTATGCGGTAACATACATAAAAAAATGTACCGACGAATTGATAACCTGCCCCTTTTTTGAAATCGGTTGAAAAAAAAATTAATTATAGAGGTGCAGATAACTTTTGGGGGTGGTCTTTGATTACAAAGAAAAAAAAAAAAAACATATATGACTCTAGGCGCGTGTACGAATATTTTTGTACTCGATTTCACACATATATATACATATGTAGATATGTATGTATGTATGTGGGCAATTCTCACAAACTTCGCATTTTTTTGTGAACTTTTTTTTTCTTTTTTAATCGTGAGCTGCTAGAATACAAAATTCAACATAATCCAACGTTTTAAAGCAACGCATCATAGGTTGGTTTTTCTGAAAAGTGGGTATAATTTTAGTCCGATTTCGAAAGTTTGAGTTTGTACAAACTGATAAATCAGTTACCGAGACACACATACAGTAAACCAAATAAAAACTGGGATGCGACATTTTAGTAAGTTTTGGCTATTCTTCTTTAGTTTTTTTTAACGTTTATTAGTTTTTTTATGAAAGTATAACTGATTACTTAACAAACACGTTATAAATCCAAACTTCAGACTTTGCGCAAAAATTATGAAAATTCTGCGTCTTTACACAAAATTTTGGTATTCAGTTTTGTAGCCCATCAAATTTTAGTAATGCAAAGTGCAAATTTTAAGTATCTCGGCATTTTTTTTTTTTTTGTTGACGATGCTGCGCATTTTGTTCATATAAAAAAAATTTTCGAACATAAACTGCCAAATATCAACGGTAAATCCTGGCATCCTCAGCCCAAGCTCTTGCATTTCACACACGATTTTCGAATCGATCGAATGGCGCAGATTTGATGGCATGGACTTAAAATGCCTTTGAATGTTATATACATCATTTTATTCTGAATTATATGCATATTTGGCTAGAAAATATGCACGGTGGCCTTTTTTGGATTTACATAATCTACACAACATATATAACCTAATTTGTGTTAATAAACCAGCGAAATTTATGTGTCCGAGGAAAAAGTGGCGAGTCATGCGAATGTTCCAACTAATTGAGAATTGCCCATTTAACTAAAAGCGTTATACTTATGTGAAGTGATAATGAACTGCTCGGAATGATAAAAAAATATTTATGATTTCTAATGACTCACGTTACTTGAGCAATGTAAACACTTCACGTACTTTCGATTAAACACAACAGAATTTTTAACCATCTTCGAAAAAAGGAGGAGGTTATCTATTCGTCGGAATATTTTTATATTTTTTTTTTGACCACGTTAACTGATTTCTATAACTCTTTAAAGGAAAGGTGGTACCTCAGAGATGGTCCCATATTAATTTGGTTTAGTCCGCATTATTGGATCATGAGGAAATTAACGGTAATTCGAAATGTTTATATGAGAATTGAAGCGGGTTTTGTTTTCTTATTTAAAAATTACTTGTTTATTAGAAAGTGTACATTCAGTTGTATGTTGTGATAAGTGTGTGATGTAAAGAATAAATAAATAAATAAATAAAGAAATAATTTAATTGAGTACATTAGGTAAATAATTTAGGTAAATAAAAAATGGAAAAGTTAGTCAATTTTAATAATGTTTTTTTTTTTTTTTTTATTATTTAGTACTTGAATTTAAAAAATTGGAACATTGTATTTAATAAAGAGTAATTTTGCGGGTAACAGCCTGTTTCTTAACGGGTCGTAAATCAAACCTGCGCCACTCGTTCATGGCGACAAACTTGCAAAACTTGAAACTTGACAAAATTGTAAATACTTCTGAGAGTTCTTTCAGTTATATTTCTTTTTTTTTATTGCGGCGCAATAATTCCTTTTTGCGCATTACATCGGGGCTGCAAATGTCGGATGTAGCCTCCTGACTTTCATCTTCACAATCATGGCAAGATCGTTGTATAAACACCGTCGTCATAACTTGGAGAACGTGTTACGTCGTCAGCGTTTTTCGATTTAATTTTTTGTGATTAATTTTTAATCCTGTCTTCTGTGACTGGTTTGAAAAATGTGTGCTTATGGCGAGGTTCTAAATAGATGGATATGGTAAATTCTTTTTTGAAAGTCGTGGCTGCCAGCCGAATAAGTTTCAAATTTTGTTAAAAAGACAACTCGTTTGTTATAATAACTTGAATTATGGGAATTAGGACGATTAAGGTCTCAAGTCTGCTTAGTTCCCGGGTGATTTCTTAGAAAGGTTCAGCTTTTCCTAGTTGCAGCCAGTCACAATTAATTAGTCACCGCTGTTGGTACCATAAGCCATTAAATCCGTTTTGTTGTCCCATTCACCTTGTCGCTGAAATGTAAAAAAGCAACAACTAAAAAATATTTTTATTGGATAAAACGATGTGGGGACTTATGATTCAATGAAATCCATCACGAAAAATCAAATATTTAATTTTGTATTTTTAGCTAGTTGCGGATTTTTGTATTTCAGCGACGATGTGAGTTACGCCCTTTCCATAGTATACCAACGATATAGTGCATGCCAAGTCCCACTCCTCAATAGATATTAAATACGCCTTGAATTAATTCTTATTTGATTTGTGAACTTGGCTGTCAACATATTCACATATCATTTTATCTTTATTTCGATGCGTGCTAATTTTGATAATTATCACAAAATTAAAATAAATGTTGTTGTTTTCGAGCTGAAAGAGAAATAAAAGGAAACGCGGAACTTAATCATAATAAGTTTTATGAGAAAACAAATAATTACACTTATCTGAGAAAAAGTAGAAAAAAACTAGCGATGCATCCAATTTTTTCAACATACCTTTGACAAATAATATTCTTCGATAATTACATAATTCTTACCTAATTAAAGGTTACCTTTTAACGCGCAAATAGTCGGTTCTCTTTATAGCCAGACGTTGAACATTTCCGCTGGAAATACCTATTGAAGGATCTTACCCTTTGACTATAAATTACCTTAGAAAGGGACTTAGGGGGACAATTTTAACGCAGCATCTCCACAGGCAAAAAATTTTGGCTACAATTTGTCATTTTGTTTGCCAGAAAGCGGCTCGACAGTGTGGAAGCACCAGCAAAGGGCTTAAAGCCAGGGTTATGTGGGATTTCGACGACAGACTTAAGCGGCGCGCTGGGCTGTCCAAGAGGGCGCTTGCTGACCGTCGCAGGGCCGTACGCTCCAGTGGATCAGAAGGGTGGTAATCGTCGGCCAAGAGAGCTGTAAGGAGGGTACAGACTCTATCAATACCGATGGAAGAGATATTTCTCTACTGCAACATTGGTATTTCAACGCACAACTTGAAAGTGGTTCGGTTCCAGGGGTTACAGGGATCCTACTGGCAAGCGCTGGTGTTGCTCAACGCAAAGTATCTGGGGCCTGTCGTCGAAATCTCATGGTGTCATCACCTATGGGTTCGAGAAGGTAACCATTAAAGTCTACCACACCGACTCCAAAGGTAATGGCGCGCCTATTTTGGTTGCACTGGTTGGTTTAACACCCGAGGCGGAGGATTCCCCCGTGAGCATGGAGGTCGAATCCGTCTCGCCGGACTGTGATAGCACTGCTGGCTCTCCCTCAACTGCGGTATCGGTCATGGGTGTTGGCCCGCTGTTTGACAGGCCGATAGAAGAGTGGCTTCTCTCCTCTGACTGCGAGGGCGGCTGCGGATAAGTGCTAGAGAGGTTTGGGTAGGATGAATATTCTTCAGATCAATCCTCAGCACTCTAAGGCGGCATCCGCCAAATCTTCTAATCCACCTTGAGCAAGGTGGAGTCGGTGTGGTCCTGATCCAGGAACCGTAACGTAAAGCATTTATCTTGCCTCTTTTAAATCATAAAAGGCAAAGATTCAATGTAGAAAATTTAGAAAAAGTATTAGTAGTGTATGCTTTTTGAATCGCTGAAACAAAAATATTGGTATTAAAAGTACATGTACTAGTAGAAAGTATCTATATGTATACTAGTTTTCACGCACCTGTTTCGCTGAGTGTATGAAATTTCATTTATTTCAGTAAAACTCAACTAAATTAAGCTTAGGCAAAACTTAGCGGATTTTCACATGTTTCCTTTTTTCACACTCTTCCAAATATTTCTAAACCAAAATAGTCTTAAATTTCTTTAGTCGGTCATATATTGTGATACATATATTTATTTAAAGTGTTCTTAACATTTTTTCCTTTAACAATGTAACATATAATTTAATTCAATTAGACTTTTAAAACGGGTGGCAACCTGTTCAAAATATTTTTAAACTTAATCCTTCTCAAGCCTTTTTCCTCTGACCGATATTGTGATGCATATGTTTTTCAATAACCTAATTCCCTCAATTCAGGTTCAATATGAAGTTCTTAACACGTGGCAGCACTCCTGAGTACAGTTTAGAAGTAAAGCCTTTTAAATCAGTTTTGATTGTAATAACTCGTTTAACTTCACTGAATTTATTTTTTTAGAATGTGCCAATCCTTTTTATGTTCTAACCCAGATACTCGTATAAATCTTTTCCTAGCCGAGACAAACAGGTTGGTATGTATGTTCTACAATGAGTTAAGAGGATTTTAGTAACGCATAATTGTTACCCATCCTAAGTCCTAAGCTATAAAAATGAAAAAAGGATGATCTCTTAAAAGGCAATCAAAGATTTTAGTTCAAAATCAAACTACAAAAAAAGAAAAAAATTACATAGTGTTCAAAAAATCTGCATTCTTTAATTCAAAGTAACTTCTGTGGTTTCTGTAGAACTCAAAGTAACTTCTGTGGTTTCTGTAGAAACTGAAGATTCGGTGGTAGAGTTTGATCCGCTTGGTGGGGGTGTTGGACGTGGTGGAGGTGGAGGAGGTGGTGGTGGATGACCTTGACCGTCTTGTGAAGGAGGAGGGCCTCCAGGTCCTTGTGGACCTCCAGGTCCCTGTGGACCTCCATGTCCTTGTGGACCTCCATGTCCTTGTGGACCTTCAGATCCTTGTGGGCCTCCATATCCTTGTGAACCGCCAGGCCGTTGGGGGCCTCCAGGTCCTTGTGGGAGTGCTATAAAATAGATATTTAAGATTATGAACCTTAAAGTAAGTATAAATAGAAATGGTACGACTCACCTTGAACTAGGACCGCTGCGAAAGCGATAACAAATAATGTGGTAAATACTTTCATCTCTGCTCTTAGTTGGGTTTATGCCAAATGCTGACTTGTTACCAGTTTGGTTGCTTCTTTTATACCCAAATTTTTATCACGTGAAAAAACAAATAGATAAACAATTCATTGTTTATTTATTATACAAATAGCTCAAATAAAAACAGTTATTTATCACAGGGCCTGACTCATAGCGCAGCTATAAAAACATAATTGAAATATACCAATATCCATATACATATGTAATACTTCTATATCAGGTGTATTCGCGTACTCTTCCAGCAGAAAACTCTCAACCAGCAAAGATCTAGAGAATTTTTATGTGTTCTCTCTCTGAAGCAGTGAAATGTTTGCAAAAGTACGCGAACGCAAAACTAGCAAAAACTTGCTAGTTTCACGAACAGCTGATCGGAATTTGCTTTACATACATACAAAAGTACAAATATGAAAACTTGAAAAGAATATAAATAAAAAGTGTGCCTGAAGCAATTTGTTAAGCAAACGCAACAAAATTAGTACTTGTATTTTTTTCAAAACATTTGGGGTTCTTATAAGTTATTTTACAAGTTAAAACAATCAAAATAAATTTCATTATGTTCATAAGTTGCCAACAGATGATTTTTAACAGCTGTTTTCTTGCAGGCAAATTGCTGCTGGTAAAAAATTTTCCAGCAGAAACTAGCAGATTCCCATCAAAATGAAATGTCAGTTTGGTCTCTCAATTACCTACCTCCTGGATTTTTGTGTACGCGAACAGCAAAACCTGATAACTATCAAAAACTATCAATACGCGAATGCACCTTTTCATAGCAACGTATATTCACAACGTGTTTTTATTCCGCAATTAAAGGGAGGCAGCCTATCAACATAAATGTTTGCTTGCGTTAGTGTAAATGTATATTTGTGAACTCCCCGCAAACAGAATATATGAGTCCGAAAGGAGTCCTAGATAGGTAAGAAATATGAATTTCGAAAACAAAAGAATTGTTTACTCTTATATGAATCTTTTAGGATATATATAAAATAATAAAGATTTGTAATTTACATCTAAACTTGTTTATACAGAAATTGAAAATAATTAGAAAGCAAAAAATTAACAATATTTAGCGGCAGCTGCTGCTATTGAAGGCATGTTGGAATGTATGTATGTATGTATGTATGTTATTTGAAAGGAAATTTTGCTGAATGCCTTTGCAAATATAGTGCGTTCAATAAGGCTCAAAGAACAACCTAAAATATGAGTGCGAATGTAGTAAATTTATGAGGCCGATAAGAGCCCTAAAGTGATTCATATATGAGGCCAAAAATTGTTGTAAAATAGTCCAAAATGAGCCGTATATGAAGCCAATAAGAGTCCAATATGACTCATATTGAAGCTCATTTGATGTGTGAATTTAAGCTCATATAAGTCGACCTTCGGAGGAGACTTAACTTGATTTAACTTACTGCAAGAAATCCTCAATGATTACTCAGCACGTCAACTTAAGCCAAAAGCGAAAATATTTTGTTTTTCTATTTAACTTTTCAGCTCTTTGACAGATTGCCGCCTAAAATACAAAAACGAAAATCTGGCAAGCCTGATTCTCTCACCGCTCTCAATTTCCGTAAGGCCGTAACTTAAGAATCTAAAATCTACGGGTTCTTAATTTGCTTACGGTAAGTTAAGTTTTAACTAACCGCTAACAGCTTCTCATATAACAGGTTGCCAAAATATTTAGTAAAGTTAAGTTACGGAAATTAAGTCTAGACTAACTGAGCTTTTAGCCGACGTATAGCTTCTGCCCGTTTTCCCCGATACGGCTCACGCATGCAGTACGATTTTATTTTCCTTCCTTTTTTGCTTCTACAAACAGCACAGTTCCGCACCATTTTTTATTCTTTTTTTGCTTTTAAAATTAAAATTTAGTTTTGTAAAATATTGACGGTTACTGCACCGCTCCTGATTTTTTATTGTTTTCAAACGTCATTCTGGGTACATTGGCTGGTGGGTTTTCTCTTTCTAACATTATATAAATATCTGCACTCTAATTTTGGCGGATGTACTTTCAACGTACTGCCAATATAGCAGTATTACATATATGTCAATATCATAAAATAAAATATGTATGGCTATCATTTTTTTTTTGTGTTTGGCCGAACTTCTCCTCCAATGTGTGGTTCGAACAAAGGGAGGGGCCTATATACACATTTTGCCACTTCCGAACAGCAAATGAATATTTATCTAAAGTATTTTCATCACAGAATTTAGCACGGATGTTTGCCGTTGCCTGCAGAGGAGCGACTGATTTGAGAAGAAAAAACACTTTTCTTGGATACTCCTTGGTCAGGGATCAAACCTGCGTTCCACTCACCTATTATACGAATGACTTTCTCAATGCAATACGCTTAGGGCGTGCACTTTTTGTTTAGAGCAAATTTTTCTTATTTATAGAAGAGGCTTGAGCTAAAAATGTGCAAATAAATATTTTTAAAGTAATTAAGATATTTATGGGTAAATCTTAATAACAGGTACACTTAAAAAAAAAAAAGTTAAATATTTCAATTTGTGGGCACACGTATGTCTTATATATGATATTATTCGTAAATTCCTTCCCGCTTTCACAGAAGAGTTGTCATTTGTTTATATTTTCTGACGTTCAGCTCAGTGATAACTCTAATGTAGATCAATTTTTCCCCTTATTTCATCTCCATGGACTAACTGGCTAACCAGAATGTAGTACCACAGCCACAAGCTATTTAGCTAGCTGTTCAGCCAGTAAGGAAAGAAACTCGCCTAAATTATTCGATTAATTGGAAATTATTATGAGTACTCAAAAGTTCAGTTAGTCGAGTAATCAAGAATTCGATTAACTAAAAACCAAAATATTTGAGTAATTTGCTTTATGATTGATTAGTCAACATTATGAGCAAAATGAGTAATCAACATTTCAAAGTACTCCTTACCATATAAAATAGTTGAAGTTCGTTGATAATTTGAAAACAACGTTTATGTTAAAAAAAAAATATATCTATATAAAATATATTTTTCATATACAGAATGTAAATTTTCCAAAGCAAACTCTTTTAACGAGTAAAATTAATTTTTTTTAAGTACTCATATTTCAAGTAACTCTATTAATCATCGTTTTGAGTAAACAAAATCGTGATTATTCCAGTAATTGATTAACCGCATAGTACAGAGTTTTGCAATTATATTAAGGAAAAGTCAGAAATTGTGAAACAAATTTAAAGCAACAGAAAACTATGACCGATTTTCTAATGTTATCTTGTACTTACAGTTTTTTCATGAAACCTAGTGTACTTATAAGTACAGTGCCGTACAAAATTATTAGCTCTATTAGTTGGAAATGCAGCTTTTAGCAAATTAATACAGTGCAAGTCTGAGGTTGCTAGAAAATCGCGTAGATTTTTTGCAATTTTGCGTTTGCTGACAGTGTCTTCCATACAAAAAGAATTATCGAACTTAGTTTGTATGGAAGAAACTGTTAGCGAAAAAATTATCAAAAATCACCTAAAATTTTAGGCTACAAAACTTCATTTTGAAATTTTTTATAAAAACTCTGATTAGTAAAGCAAATTTGTTTACAGATTTATTGAAATTTTCCGAGTTGTACACAAAGTTTAGACATTTTACTATAGTATAAACTGTATTTTTTTAAAAAGTAAAACAAACAATGTAGCATGCCAATAATTTTGGGCGGCACTGTATGTTTATTTTGAACTTCAATTGTGATAAGTTGTTTTATCTTGTTGGTGTACGTTGAAATGATTTCATCTTTTTATGTTTTTGTTTTTGTTTTGTCAAAATAAAATTTTACTACATACTTTCGTATGTAAGTAATTTTTGTCTAAAGGAAAGGGGGGTTGGTGTTGTTGTGTTAGATTTACCAAAGTGTTCCGGTTTGGCAACGGAGATATCTGGCAGCCCTACTCAAAATTGAGACTAACAACAATCCCTTGAAAATAAGTAACATTATTTGGAATTTTGGAAAATGAGCGTGATGCCGCCCATATATGACTTTATACGTTTATCTGATCATATCTAACTGAACGTTCTATCGGAGATATTTAAAATAGGGGTAAAACCACCCCTGCTTACCACGGTAGTTTTCGGAAAGGTGAAAAAGATATATTTAATACTTGCGCCGGGTATTAAATATCGGGCTCCACCCGAACTTAGACTTCTTTACTTGTTTTTAATTTCTATAATCAAACTTAATAGTATCTAATTAGTAATTAAGATACAAAAATTTAAACATTTTTCATTATGAAAAGAAGCATTTCCGCATTACCGGTGAAGAATCCGTTTTTATTTTCAACATAAATGCTGTACACAAAAATAACAATCAATAGCGAAGAACAAGAACAAGAAGCAGAGCTGCCAAAAGAATTACGAACATTTGTCGTGGAAACAGGGTAACTCACGAATTACTTGTCGAATTACTAAGAGAGAGAATTATGAATCGTGAAAATGTCGTACTAGCCGTTTTGAACCCCAATTTGCATCTCCTCTGATTTGCGTTCTATATAAAAAATAGTTAGAACACGATTCACCTAAACTGTGTTTTGCATAAAACAAAGAATAATTAAAAAAATTTGTTTTTTTTTGTAATAAAATAGGCAAAACAAACTTCTTAAAACAGAAAAAAAAACATGACCTCTAATCCAGTTTATCTCATCAAATTGTTCTCTTGGCGTTTTTTTCGTTTAAGTGCGTAAGATACCGTTACCTCAGCTTTGCTCAAAACAAAGTGCACATCGACAACAACACTTATGTGAAATGTTTTTTCCATTGTTTTGTGCACTCTCAAATTGCTGATAAGAATCATAGTAGGCGGTTACTACGTTTATACGCACAGAATAATCGACTTAATTGAAAGCGCATTGATACCGTACACATTTCGCTCTAGTGTCTATACTTACGGCTTTATATCGGCATCAAAGCAACCGTCTTCAAAAGCAAACAAAATCAGCAGTTTTCATTTGACAAGTTAACATAATGGGAAGTGATAAAAATCTAGTTTTATTGGGCATTATA